CTCCTTTCGTATCTCTTTGGTTGATCATTGTTCATCCCTTCTGGAGTCTGATAAGTGTTCTTCATAGTTATCAAACGGCCATCCAGGTGTCGTGCGATTGTAGACTTTGAAATGTTCTTATCCATATTGGCACGTACTCGGGCTCGCATTTCGTGTAGTGTTAGAGTTGCGTCCTTCGCGATCCACTCCAGAATGGGCTTACGACCGCGCGCCTGCGTAGCATCCGGCTTCTGATCAAGAGAGCGACGAATCGAGGAGTAGGCAGTTTGATATTTCACATTGTTCACGGTTGCCACGAGCTGCCAGCCGTCACTGTTGATGAAGGCCTCCACAACTCTGTCACGAATGTCTGACGAGATACACTGTCGAACACGAGAAGGCGTGTTGACCACGCTGGAAGGAAAGACATCCACTCAGTCGTACGTTTATGTTCCGGCCGTTCAATGTTCGCAGACCAATTACGATCCAGCGTTTTGGACGTGAGCGGGGCGCGTAGTAGTTCGTGGCACCGCCATGGACTCGAGGTTCATTCTCAATTCTTACCTAGTCAATGGGCTGTGCGCTCATTTCACTTGACTTACGTTTCAAACCCTAGCACCCGGCCAATAATAACACACTTGAGGTCCGAGGATTGGCTCAGAACGGCTGGCGAATCCTACAGGATTTTGCAAAATTTTGTACTTACTTTACCAAATTTGCACTTATGCAATATTTTGCGCTTTGCTTGCAAAATTTTGGACTTTTTATGCAACTGTGCGGGAAATGCTGTAGATGGCCCACACTACTCTGCAGGCTCGTGTGATCCCCTATTTTAGTGATATCACGACATATCGTCTAAAAGTATAAGCTTTGCATGTTGCGGATTTTTGTGGATTTTGTTTTCCGATCTGCTTTGCACTAACCTGTTTAATTTGTTGACGGATTCCCCTGACGCCGCCTCAGGAGACCTTTCGACTGAGATAAACCATTATGTTGAACCAGTGAGGGCGGATAAGATATCACAGTTGGTTACGTGAGATTTTCTGCACCTGATTGAAGATGTTCTGCTTAGCACATGTAGTGGTACACAAGTGTCACTTGATCGCTGCGGCCCAGTAGATTGCACGTTGTTACTACGTCGATCACTTGGCCGTTGTTGATGAAATGAGGTCCAAGATTACTGGTTTGTTTCCTGTCCTGAAACGCGTTGAAGAAGTGACATGGTTGTAGGGCGTTGAACCAGCGATTGGCTGTCGCCGATACGCCTTGAATTGTTCACCAAAAGTGGTCGGAGTTTAAAGGTCCTGCAGTCTGAAGTTCCTACCAGGAGAACCTGGCTGTGAGATCGTTCCAGTTGGTTCTTCATAGCCGAGGCTAGAGCCTGGTCCATTTTTAAAGTGGACATTGGTGGGCGGTATACGACGGCCACTAGGCATATATTTCCCTTAGGTGTAGGCAACTCCCTAAGGAGTCTACAGTTTTAACCTCTGGATCATTTATGAGGCTAGTGTGTATTTCGGAACGGTAGCACTAAATTACACCGCCTCCTTTAGTGGGCCGGTCGCTGCGTGAATGACCTACCAGGTAGTGCGATCTCAGTGTCGGTAATCACGTCATTCAAGCATATCTCGGTTTCCATGATGTGGTCCTAAGAGCTTGGGGCTTGACAAGATCGAGACTCGGTCAATTTGCTGAGCAGGTTCTGTGCGTTTATATACCAACAACTGAGAGCTACGGATGCCAGGTGGGTGTTTGAACACGCAAACGTTTCTCGCGAATATACGCCAACTCTTGAGGGGCCGGCTGACAATCTTTTATTTGGATGTATCTCCGGCCTACCACTCGGGGCCGTTTCGGGCTGTTGTACAGTGCATTCACTACCTACTCCTTCAGGGGCGATTTGCGGCGGGTTGTCTGTTTCTGCTCCTGGGAGCTCTGGAGTTGCACTGCGCTCCGGTTCAGAAGTGCAGAGAGCTGGGCTGGCGACACGATCTCGCTAGATTTGTGTTCCCTTAGCCCATGGTGACCTGGTTTCGCCCGCCTTCGAACGTATTTCTGACGGCAATTTGATGTGTAACTTGTACCAACTTCCGAGCACCCTTTCAACCATTTGTTTGAAGTGCAGCAGTGTTATGGTCCCCGACGTCGCTCCGGTCTCTTTGATTGGCTGATTAGAGGACGGCCTTCAAGCGCCAGTTTGCTCACTAGGAAAGACAGGATGGTTACATGGCGCATGCTATACTTATATGGTGCGGTTGACCTTCATGATCGCTTTTTGTTCTCTTTTTTCTTACCATAATAGTATCAGCTTGTTCTGAGATTTTCTTGCGGGTTTGCTTTTGGTGATCGGACTTTGGGGAAGTGTGTCAACCTGTCCTCCTCCTAACAAGCAGGACTTTCCGCACTCTTGGACCACATTATTTATAGTTGTTTGACGTAGGCAACCTTAATGGAGGGTTGGCAATCATGTCGTGGAGAGAGCTTCATTGATGCAAAACCATTGTCCTGTCATGAGCTTGGGAATGTGGATTTCGGGTACACTACGGACAAAGATTGATCTTTCGTTGTTTTACCTACGATATTCTGGCTTTTACTTTCTTTGCCGACTCTCAATCCATTGAATGTCTTAGACTATACGAACGTCGCATACTGATTTACGAGGACGGTGAGCTGACTATAGAACGGGCTCCACTTCGTCACCTGACTGATACGTCACTTGAAGTAGTCTTGGTTCGCCATAGTGAACTGAGATTGGGTGACGAACAATGCGAAGCAAAGTAGCCTGTTTGGTCTGGATCCCCGCTGTTTGGCATATGGATTCCAGCGTTTGCCTTTGACTGAACAACTTTTGAGCGTATTACCTTCATTGAGTTCTTCCTCCTCTTAATGTTCACGATTTCTAGTAAGAACCTGCTTCCCTTCATTAGCGAGGCATGGTAGGTGGCCTTCTCGGAGGCGCATTGGTATTCGAATCCTTTCCAACACTTTGGAGTGGTTGTAGACGTGCCTGCTAACTTTGCCTTCTGTCTGTATGTAGCGACGACCCATGCGTATGTTGTCTGGCTTTTAAATAAATAAATAAATAGTTTATTCTCGAATTTATCGAGCCAAACCAAATCAAGCATGATCAAAATTCACAGGCAGTTATGTTTCGCAACAGACACGTTGCTATGTATGTACTCGACAATGGCCGAAATCTGTACAGGCTACGGAAATTGCAGAAATAATCATAAAGAGCAAAGTCGTCAATGGATGACGATACCTTGGGTTCAAGTGTGCGTAGTGCAAACAATGAAAGCGCTATAAGTCTAGTGAAAGCAGTAGATGTAGACGGAGAGTATCTTATTGTTGTACGTGTCAAGAAATGGTTGTAATATCACTCTAGTCGACTTGCCAGTACGTAGTTGTGGGCAGTGACTTTATTCAGTGGCAAGTTACGTCCGCCACGTCGCATTGTTGTTAAACGGACATTTGTGGCTTTTTATAGGGTGTTATATAAACTCAAATGTAATGGAGTATCATATACTACAGACACCTTCCCAGAAAAAGTTATTCTCCGCAAGATTGGGTCTCCGGTGCTGACAGACTGCCTGCCCGCCTACTTACTAATCCTCTTAGTTGTGGCAGCAGGCTCTACGCTGTTAACTATGCGCTTGTTTTGGCCACTTAGGTTTATTCAACGGGAGTGGAGTTCCGCTACAAATTATTCTGATGCAGCCGCTTTTCCAGCCGTGGCACACTGCACAAGCGCTGTCAGTGCGGCGATGCACCTTACGGGTGGGTTCATCATACTCTATGTATATAACGAAATTTAGTCTATTGGGTGGTGTCGCACTTTTGCTTTCACTACACCTAAATTTGCGCACTTGGGATGGAATTTATTACTGCAGTTACTACACGTTATTTCAATTCAAATAGTCTTGAGGCATGATTTCGGATTGCAAAGAGCTGTTGTCTGGAGTTGCGTGAATCGTGTACATTTCGTTTTCCTTGTTGCTGTGTCGCAGTCCATGCCTATTGTCAGTCGCGTGCGTAAATCGCGACCGCCTTTTCGTTGCTAACACCCAACGCACTGAGCGTGTTGGGACTGGCACATGATATTCGTTGACTATGTCCTACGAGTGGGACCATAGTTGCGAACAAAGTCGACGGAGGTTAACGCGCTACCTTGCTGTAGGTAGTGAGCGCTTGGCTATCGATCGGGCCGGGCTTCGACATGGCGGAAAGTTGATCGTTGTCAGGCGTGGTAGAATTCACGCTGCCCTGGCGAGTGTTCGGATAATGGCTGCTAAACGAGCTGCAGCTATCAAACTAAGTATCGGATTCCTGTGGCAATCGCCAGCTAGCGCTAAGAACACTCTGTCGAATGAGGGTACAAATGATGGTATGCACTTGAAAGTTTGGTTAATGCGCGCATGGATTTCTGTGAAAACGCCGCTAGAATTACAGTAACTGATGCAACGATAGTGTGTGCTAGACAGTCCTGTAATAGTAGATCCATTGGATAGCGTGTTTAAATCCGCGTTGAATAAGTGTAAGCACAACAATGTGCGTCGGCGCTTGGAGATAGTAAATCCAAGAGGATAAGAGCGTCGAATCAGAGCGGCTACACGGTGGGATAAACAGTGTGTATTGAGCATTTTTATCTTGGCCACGCGACTCTTGAAAACTTGATCCACCTCGCAATTCGGTGCTCGGAACACCATTGTTTATCTAAACGGAGCTAACATCTCTATGTCCCCTTACGCGTTTTGCACTTCACGAAGCTTCTTGCGCATGTGCTTAACACCAGCCCTTTTATCAACACCCAAGCCCCCATGTTAATGCTGAATTTGTCACCCTTCTCATTTATTTAAATATATTTCCTTTTTATGCAATTGTATTCCTTGTTCAAAACGGTAATTTCGGAAAATGTACCCACCTGTGTCTACACACTGAAACATTCACGTTCGACTGTTGTATTTTCCGCAGATCGTGCGACATCCTACATTTTTACCTTCACTGTGCCTTTGCTTTCTCAGCTTTGGTGTAGACATCGTCGTTTTGGTGAGGAACATCTTTTGTTAGTCGGCGACGATTTGAATGATCTGCGATCGGTTTCCCCACTCCGGAACCTTTCCCATCACCAAAATGCTGATCGTCCAGAAAGACTGACCGAAGAAGCTGACCAATCCGTGGAATTGCGCAGAGCGGGACAGACCACTTCCTCCGTGATTCAATCGAGCTCTCTTTTCGGCGCTTCTAGCCACCTGTTGGATGTCACAATAAACCAGGTAAATCCATCGGTAAACGCGCGCCCATTTGTTTTTGGGTCACTTGCTTTGGTCCTCATGGTTACATTGCTACCAGCTCCCCGTTGTGCGCAGTCAAACGAAATCTACGTGTCCCAAATACTTTGACAGTCATTCGTATCTGCGCCTGTACTCATCTAATTGTTGTGCGCTTTCCGTGCTGCTTTTAGTGTTTCTTCCCACTCCAGATAATAAGACAGTACTCGCCTCAACTAGCAGACTGTTCGAGGAATGTAATACGTGATAACAATAGATTGTGCCCAAGAAAAGTACACATTAACTAGAAAATTCCCATTTCATTATCAAGAACAAAAGACCGAAGATAATTGTTTTCGATGATTCATCCTCAGACCCGTACAATCATATGAGTGAAATAGCAATAGGCGTAAAAGTGGATTCGATCAGTACAAATCAGATTTGATCACGTACCGACCAAAGACATGAACCATCAACAAACGACAAACTAGGGCACATGTGTAGTTGCACAATTACAGTTGCCCTCAGAGAGATCCGGTTTCGCCTGGCCAAAGTAGCTTAACATCTTCGATCAGCTTCTTTTGTGCACACAAAAGCGGTTGATACAACCGAATGCTGATCGCCTCGATAGTAGCAAGGGTGCGGAGGCGCAGGCCTTTCGACTGGAGTGGAGGGACCCTTTATAATACACATTACTATTTACATGATACGCATTCTCATGCGTGTGGTCACTGTGTGTAAATCGTTAAACCCTGCACGTCTATAATCAATATCGTAGCTATTCCAGGTCTCGATAAATCATCATTCTGTATTTCTCGACGACACGACTTCGACTTCCAGGTATACTAATAGCAGGACGAAATATTCATCTAACAGTGACGATTTGCCGTTGCCGTCACCGCAAGACTTGACCTTGGCTTGTTGCGACAGTTTGCGTACTTCTTCATCCCGTTGAACTATATTGGCTAATGCCCCGAGCCCCTTGTGAGCTACTTCTACTAGGTTGGTCAATGATTGTAGAGGTCAGACAGACTCCAGTTTGGGGTTGGAAATTGGATGGTATCCGTTTCTGTAAGACCGAATCGTTGCCATCTCCCGGCTGTCTTGCGGACAGGCTTTTGAGCCAAAGGCTTCGGTTGACCACTACTCGTTCTCTTTTCTAGGTCTGGGTGCCCTGGCAGTATCTCAGCCCACCTACAACCATGACTATTTCTTCAAATCTCCACCGCATCCTGCATCGGCTGTCGCGCAAATTATCAAGGGTCGCCTTATCTGCTACATACAGCAGTACAGATAAGCGAAAAGATGCTACTGCTGGCGCGCCTCCTTTCTTTTCCACCTTTTCTATCACTTCTCTCAGCCTAATTGGCAGCCGCCTTAATGACACTGGAGTCACACCAACAGCAGCTACCTTCTCGCACCACCCACTGGACGCCTATCGGCAACAACCCTTCTAAAGCCACGTTGTCCCGTTTCCCTGGCGACGTTCAACATTCGCGCTGTAAGTCGAATACGTCATCAGGCTGCAGTCGCCCACACGTTGGGCACTCTGGGTATCCATGTCCACTGTGTGTCTTAACTAGGAGCAATTGTCCTCCTGTGGTCGTTTAGCTGCGCCCGACCTGTGCTCTAGCTGCTGGTTATACGCATCCTGGAGACGCTGACGCGGCAGTCAGTGGTACTACTGTGGTGGGCTGAGACATCGTTGGTTGATTGGATTTGTGTGTGCAATACATTTGACCGCATAAACTATGGTTGATTCACGGTGTACCATGCTGTTTGTATGTGGTTTACGTTTATACCTTCACCGACTACAGTTCTGATGTTGCCATTGACACTTTCTACCACGAATTGAACACGCTGCTTCGCATTGTTACCCGTTCAGATCGTCTGAGCTCTTCAGAAGTTCAGCTGGATGTTAAGTATGGATTTAACTCCGACCGGACAGACAGCAGTGAGCGTGTATTGCAACTGTGCGCAGATCACCGTTTTATTTCTTAGTAGCACCGCTTTCAGGCACAGTGGGCGCCGAAGTGCCATTCTATAACTGTCCAACCATGGACCCAAATAGGTTACGTTACCTTAACTTGCATGGCTCCATGTTGGCTTGCCAACCGTTCTGGAATATCTGCGTCAACTCTGATCATGCTTTGGTACGCGGTGGTTTTTCCATGTACGTTATGCGGATGCGTACCGTGCGCCTTTTTCGGTTGACAACTAGGAAGTTATCTCAGCCCGCGCTCAGGCAAGCCTACCAGGATGTCCTGGGTACCCAAATTACGCTCTCTCGCCCAAATGACACAGCTTCATAGGGACAGAATCCCGGCCGCTATGCACGACGCGGGAACTTCTGCTTGTGATATTATCAGTCGTAACCGTACCAGTCACTGTATATGGGAGAGGTCAGTGAACCTGTTGGAATCGCTAAGAAAGATCCATGCTGGCTCTAACCACGATGTTATCGGGCGGACTATTAAGTGCGAACTAAACCAGAACCTGGATGCGGATAACGAAGCTTGGTGGTTCATCATGGCTCCGGAAATGGTGGTGTGGGCAGTGGACAATCATCACAAGCTTCACACTATTAGCTCCCATGGAACCAGGCATCAGTGGTTCGTTGGGCTGAGCACTTTCATGAACAATTCCGTTAGCACCTTGCTTCTAGACGTTTTCCTACTCTGGTGGTGCAAGCTGAACCATGCTCCATTCGTTTAGAGGCTCCAACGGAAATTGAGGTCCGAAATGCGATCACAGCTCTTGGTCGTTTTCGGGCTGCTGGCCGGGATTTCCTCGCACCCACACTACTTAAGGATATTGATGAGGTCCTCTACAAAGCACTCACTTTGTTCCCACAAATCTGGAGTCAATCGATTATCGTGACAATATACATGAAGGGTAATCGCACTGATTGTGCTAGCCGCAGGGGTATTAGTCCAACGCTAGTTGTGACAAAATTATTGGTTTAATTCCCGTTTGTCGCCTCACTGAGGAACGGGTCCCAGATTGGAAAGCAAGTTTCCGTCCAGCACAGGTTGTGTGGTCTATATATTCACTGCGGCAATTGCAAAAACAGCATCACGTGTATCAAAGACCGACAATAGCTGTGTTCCTCGACTTCAAGAGTGCGCTTGACTCAGTCGATCAATGAATTCTGTCCGGGATACTTGTGCGGAATAGTGTTACCGTGATATATGTGAACGTTTTACGTGCTCTATACTCGAACACCACATGCCGCATCAGGGTCTACGGCGGTTTGTCGGATGCCTTTCCGACAACAAGTGGCGTTCGTCAGGGTTGTCCAATCTCCTCATTTTCGTTCAAATTCCTTGTGGTTTCCATCATGGAGTGTTCCACTGCGGCGCCTCACGATTCAGAGGCTGAGCTGCTGTCTGATGGAAAACATGTCGATCTTGATTACGTGGATGATATGGTCTTGCTGTTTAGCGATGTTTGGACGACCCAGGCAACGCTGAATGACCTTTCTAGAGTGGTCTCATCGTTTGACATACGCTGCGCATCTCTGAAGCGCAGTGTTGCTGAGTCACCATATACACACATATAAAGTGAGAAACACCCTTCAGACAGTATGCTGCAATACGAAAAGATAAAATACATAAAGAAGCGCGATACAGAACATTGCGGAATATAAAATAAAAATGTACTATGATGCTCAGTGTCGTTTTACGCATCACTTGTGAGAACGTGGTTGGAGGTGAAAGTTAAGCGGATGGTGAGATAAAGAAACACAACGCGAAAGCCATTTGGGTTAGCTCTTCGCCATGCCGATATGTGTATCAAGACAAACGTTCATCATCCTTAGGACCCCAAGTCGGCAGTTGGGAGACATCAACCTTCACCAACTTCGAAATGGGGGACTTCACTCCTCTTGACCAAGCCATCGCTTAGTGCAAGACCACCAGCCACTTGCAGCTTAATAGCCAGTAACTCGAGGTATTTGATCAAATCATTTACCTTCGCAGCTGCTTCAGCAACGATGGGCAGATTAGCGCTTTAAGTTATCCAGGTGCTGCACATCTAGGTGAGACTTCTTGATTCTGCGACATCTGTAACACTGGAAGACGGTTCCCTCGGTCTGCAAGGCTGTGTCCACAAGACCACAGTGAGGTCGTCCTACTCTATGAGATCTTTAGCATTAAGAATCGCAATCCTGCCTTGTCATCCGAGGGCGCAGGTTCCAGCCTGCATAAGTACCGGGCGACGGTCTCAGCATCGTTAGCCAACATGCAACAAGTGGTAGCTGCGCGGTAGCGCAGCGTCGGTACTGTGTACCGGCGTACCGCTGATATCTCCGTCTCTTTCTTTGAGATTGAGAGTTGACCCCCTCGATCTATTGATCTCATGTGCCTTTAAGTATTTGATCCCCGCTCCCTGCGAAGCATTGCTGGGGTTGGATGGCGGCGGCGTGCGCGCAACGATGATGTGCGTAGGGGAGTACTAAGCAATAATAATCATGCTAGTTCTTTAAAACAACAGAGGACTGAATAAGTTGCGTTATCATGGGCACGTACTACGTGTGCCCGGTCACTACTTACCGAGGAGGGCTGGCGCAAAGCTCGAGGTGGACACAAATTGACTTGGCAGCGTGAAATAGTCACTGACGACCAAATTGGGTGCCGTCGGTCCGTCTCGTCTTCCGAACTGGAGCCCACGTGACCCGCCCTGTACTTGGCTCGATACGTTACGATACATGGTTCGCATTGGGCACTAGTGGCCGGTGTGCTGTCGTCTTCTACTTGGACTGTCTCTTTAAAGTGTTTGATGCTTAGTTATCTGCGGGATAATAGCTGCTTATGACGCGGGGCAGTGCAAACCGCAAGAAAGCTGTGTCGCCTAATCTTTCCACGATAGCCAGCTGTTTGTGATGGTATGTTGTCTGCACAACGTGTAGGTGCCTTCACCATAATGGTTTTACGCGAGGTTCTCCTTCTCACTCCTTTAGTGTCCTTCGTTCCGTAAGTCCTTGTTTTCGGCAGCGACGCAGCAGTTAAAATATCTGATTTACTCTTGTTGTGGGTAATGATGAGGAGCACGAGGATTTGCATATGATTTTGAAATTTGTACCATATTCCTCATAAGTAACAGAACTTGGTTCGCCCTCCTGTTTTCTTCTGTTACTGGAGACCGCATGATACGCTCCAGCAGGTGCAGGTTTGGGTGTGGTTAGGGATGGAAGCGGAAATTTGCATTGTTATGTAACAGATTATGTATACTTTTTAAAATATTTAACTACGGAGAGTGCTAATTTTTTAACCGTATAATGTAGGCTAATCGAGAAATAGAAACGATTAAGACTGAGCAATCCATTTTCTTCTCATTATCCTTTTCATTTTCTCCTTAGATTGCAGTCTTGCAGCCTGTGTGATAGGCCTCGATTGTTGATTTTTGGCACCATTACAATCATCCTTTTCTGCCCCTATGTCCCTCTACATTTGGGCTAGATTTTTCACCCGTTCGTTTCATGATAATTGCATCTCCACCATATGTCTCAGTCCGTTTCATCTATCTAGCTAGGACTCATGCTGACCACTCTCTGACATGCCAGCAACATCGGTGGCATGTTTGCCATCTTCTCCTTGCTGACGGTTTATTTGTTCACAATCCCCGTGGTGCCGACTTATCTGTGACATGTGGCTAATTACATCTTGGGGAGCGATAAATACAAAGGGGCCGCCTTGCTGTCGCACGATGACGAGCTACTTGATTGTTGGGTCGGTCAGGGTCTTAATAGAAGAAGTGGAAGGGAAGCTAAGCGATGACTTGGTCAAGAAGAATGAGAGCTCTTATTTCGAAGTAAGCCTCGATTGGAGCCACGCAACTTCTTGGTTGAGATTCTTGGTGTCAACAGTACACCGGCACACAGTACTAGCGCTTCGCTACCTCGCAATCACTAACTTTCGAGCGTGGGCTAAAGATACTGAGAATTGTCCGGTCCCTATGCAGGCTCGAACCCGCGCTCTCGGATTATAAGGCAGGCTTGTGGTCCTTTAGGCTACGCGCCGGTTGGTTGTGATTCGTAAGGCAAACTAGTCTGGCTACACATGCTTGTTAAGATAACGCAGGAACACCGATCTCAATGGCATCCGTGTTATGGGTTCCTTACCCTGCCACTCACCTAGTCTCTATCTCGCACCACGACCTCGTTGCCACTCCATAAAACGAGATGACGCGTGATCATATTTGTATTTTGTTTTGCTTGTTTTTTCTCGTTTTTCTTCTTTCACCTACTTAAATAGTACTGCGCTACAACAGCTGGATATTTTCTTCCCCTGGTTGATCTGTGGAATATATCCAAAGATAAGGCACTCGACTCTCTGGACTTTAGTGTTTATCCATTTTTCGTCAGCCCCTTTTCCTTCTTAGTCATTAATTAGACGGTCATGGCCGTAATGGAGCGATACAAACTACTACTTTGTTGCTGTTATTGTCCATATCTTTCTCACATTGATAGCTTCGTCGCTGTATGGTACTTCCGACGGAAACGATCGTTTATAAAACATGCATAATTTTCTTTTCCCTCTCCAATAGCCCGCCAACGTGACCGATCTGGATGTTTCTATAAAAACCCCTCTGCTTGTTAAGCCAACAACTGCGGAGGTTGATGCAGTCCGGACCAACACTACTCCAGTTCCAAATATCACTGACCAGTGTTTGCCTCAAATTGAGACAACCACATTGGTACCACTTCCAGAAGAGTTGGAAGAGCCTATGAGACAACCCTGTCCTTTAGGTAAGTGCCTTGGTCCTTATCATTCCCCACCTACACCGGCTTCTACATCCTTTTTGCGTAGCATGAGTTCCTCACCGTTGACGAATGAGGCCATGCTCTCTTGATTGTCAACACATTGTTCGTAATCGGATGTCCGTCGTTCTGCCGCGTCCTCGTAGGATTCCCCATCATGCATAAACAACCTCCTACTATGTGATAGCAGGAATCTCCTATTCTGGAGAGATTACGATGTTACTCCTCCATCCCACGACCGATTTGTCCTCGTTTGGGTGCTTCAGATGAAAATAACGCCTTAGCTGGTAGTGCAACCTTGGACCTAATGGTTAACGGCAGACACCTTGATCACTAATGCACTGTGATCTTGTCCATGTTTCATTCGCGTCTGTCAGTTCATCCCACTGATCAGAACGGTCTTGTTACTTCTACATCACGGTGTTTTCAGCTCTTTCTAGCATTCTTGTTCGATACGCCACCATAGAGTTTTGCCAATCGGTTACCGTGACTGGTTGATATGGTCACGTCTCACGAGTATTCAAGGGTTAGATGATGTTATGATTCCCCCTTTCTGCCAAGCCAGTCTGCAGAGTGCAGGTTTCACTACTGTCATCACTAACTGATCTCAGAGAGTCTGACACACGAGGACATACCTACAGGTTCGCTGCACAAAACCTTACATAGCTCTCCTTGTCCCTGTTCGGTTGGTGGCGGTTTGTTTTGCAACGAATTCGTTATCGATTCGTTGTTGCGTAGCTGTATCCGACGTCTTAGTATCCAAGCTCACATACGCCTGCTAATCGTTGCTTGGCAGCAACGCTTCGGTGCAAGGTCTAGGAACACTGCCAGTACATTTTCATGCCATAGATTCCCTTGTCTTCACTTTTCGTATATATTGATCTCTATGCCGTTTGTTTTAGAGCCGAAAACAACGGTTCCTGAAGCAGCCTCAGTTCCCGAGCAGCTATACGCCAACGCGGGGCGTGTATGGAGGTGCGTTTTGCACTTATGTGCAGCCTAACTCTTGACTGCCTTTTAGTCGTTTGCAAGAGCTACTTGCCATGTCCGACTCCAACTCGGTGAACATGACACAACTGTGTCCGTGTGGCATTTCCAAACGGGACGCTGCAATCGCGTTTGCCGCCGTACTCGGTATGTGTTGGGCTTCATTCTTAACTTTCTCCACTCTCTCTCTCTTTCAGCCTTGGCGAAAAAGCGGTTGATTCTACCTACTCAAAATGAGCCCTATGGCCCCATTACTATTCGTTACTTTTGAACACATCCACTTTTTCACCGTTTTGTACCTTTTTTCATATACTTTGCGTTTCTCGATATGAACTAGCGTTTTATCCCACACTTTATTGTGCTGAAGTTTCCACACGCATATCATGGGCCTCGCTTTCGAAAGGATAATGTTACGATTTGTACAACTATTGGGACGGGTTTCCAATAAGTTATACTGTTACTTTTGATGAATAAAAAATACAATGCTTATTTCTACTTCCACCCTCATCATTCAGGCAATCTTAGCATCAACAACATGGACCGATTGGTGAGGTGTCGGTGGGAAACATGCGTCTACATCTCAGAGACCGTACAGTAATTGTAGCACCATCGGGATTGCCCCTCTCCTATTACTTATTCCACTATTGTATTAGATAAACTCGTAGTCCTCCGATTTCCTTCAACGCGCCACCGTCAGCCACGAGGGACACTTGCTAGCCCCTAAGTCACTCGGTGCGTCATGCTGCTCTGGACAACGGTTCTGCTTGTTAAGCTGACGTCTCATTGCCGTCACAGCACCAGCTGAACTCATTCTCAACCAAACTACCGTAAAAGGCTCGTCTCGAGTGATATCGATTGATCAGTCTTTGCATAGTGGTTCACATTACCTTGCGGATGACTGATCGGGTGCACCAAAACGTCTGTATGCTCTCTATTTTTATTCAACTTTGCGATCGAGATAATCCCAAGTAACTCTGCTTTCCGACTGAAATGTCTACCGAGTAACCGTGCACGGACGGTATGGCTGTTTTTGAAAAGATCCAATGTCTTTGCAAATACTTTCGGGTGAACTGCCACGTAACGCTACTCACTTTTGCAATTCCTTCGCACCTTCAAACTGCAAGGTATTGTTGCCAGAGTGAACCGGGACACCAACACCTTTATCTATCACCCGATAACTTATCGAAATGGCCGACCAGTTCATTTATCTGTTCAGTAGAATCAGTCAGCATATTACGTCACTTAACAAGACGCATGTAATTTTCAGGGGGGGTGGGTCTTACTTATGAGGACGATCTAGTGCAACCCGTCAATCTGGGAGTGGGGCAGGTTGTTTGCACGGCGATGCGACCGTCCTTAAATTTCTAAACAGAAACGTGGTAGCTGCACGCTGAGAGCGATAAGAAATTCAACGTCCCTAGTCACCGTTGATTGTGGAACATCACTGCCAGTGGAGGCATCGCAGTTGCGGTCCGGAAAGAAACACTCCGGATGCGTGTTGTAGTATCCGTTTTACTTGAACCACTTACACGTTCACCAGGTCATCTCTTTCAGGCGCCCGCTAGCCGGTGTGATTACCGTGACTCCGTCTACTTTAGCGGAACTACAAAGTGGTAACCCGATGCAGCAGTAATGTACGACGAAAAGGATCCAGCGATTTGAACAGACCGGTACTTGCTGTCTTCCATTGTGGGAGCATATTTGTCGGTCACGTGATGTGGTGCCATTCTGAAGTATGCTGCACTGCTTTCGTTCTCTACTTTTTGATTCTCATCTACTCTGACTAACAGCTCTATTTTTGTCCATTATTGTTGTATCATTATTAGTTATCTGTACCTAAATTTTTGGGGATGTGGTTCATTGCAAATCGGTTATCACACTTGTATGCTTGGGTCCCAGCTGTTTAACTAAACATAGAGAGAAAACCCTAAATCAGTGTTAATGTTTATGAGAACGATCACATGCTACTCTGCATAACAGGATGGATGAAACAGTGATTGGCGAGGAAGGATTGTCCGATACTGGCCGAATAGTTTGTCCCGTTCGCTGTGTGGTCACTGTTCTCGGATTGCCTCGATCCTGTCAGCCGTACCTTTCGTTGTTTAACGTCAGTGGTAGATCGATCGTTTCGGTCTTGTGTCCTGACAGACACGGATGTGTGTTAGGATAAGAAGCAGTGGTAGCCAATCACCATTTGCATGGTAATCGCTACGGCGTAACAATCAATTCATATCAGACTTCCCACTGCTTCAGACGGGAGAAGTACGATGAGCCCGGTTGTTTTACCATGGCCGTGAGGACTGACTACGGTGAAGCAAAGTGACAGGAAGGACCGACGAAATGTGCTGTGGATGGGGCTCAGTAGGAATTGCGAGAGATGCGTTACCAAACGCAAGTCGTTCATGGCATTTCAACTGACCACTGACTTTGATGCACGTTTAGCATCGTGGAAGACAAAATCATGTATTATCTGTTCTATTTAACCAGCAGCCATCTCGACACTCAACTCGGATGTGTTGCAATGATCTTCACAGTTGGGTGGTAGGCAGTGAATTGTTCTGAACGCTTAGTTCTTTCCGACTATGGGGTGGCGCAGAGCTCGAGATGGCAAACGTTAACTCGGCATTGATTATTTTTTCTACGTAAGAGAATAATGGTTTGGAGGACCAAAGGGAATGCGTGGCGTTTTGCACTGCTCGATTGTCCTGTGGCAGTCCTATTCAAAATTGCCAGATCGTGTACCTCAACTCAGCTAGAAATTGCTTGAACAAACGATTGCAAGTCACTCAACTAATCTTTGACATAATGGTATGGTCTGGAAATCCCTAATGAGAGGACTGGCTTCAGATATATAACCGCTAATTTCCACCAATATCTGTCTGAAGTCAGTCATAATCAGGTGACAATGACATTCTTATTATTTTTACTACTAGGTATGTTTGCCAGTGTGCGAGAAGCTGCGCATTCTGTTCTGGTAGTGTCGTTCTCTCACACGGGTAAAACGCATAGTTGTATGATCGTGCTTGTTTCTGGCACGGCATATAATTCACAGCATTCGTGTTTCGCTGATTGAACTTCTGTGTGAGAACGTTGCTCATTAGTCCGTGATCGCGACTGTTCTTGAAAGCCACAGTCAATGATAAGCAGAATGACCAACAGCCAGGAACCGTCTGGCTTAGGTTTCACGAGCAGCAAATGGCTCTTTTCACCTTTAACTTCACGCCAGCTTCTGCTTCGTGCACACAGGGGAGTTTCTCATCAGAATGAGGAAGTTTGGATCAGCCCCATTGTGCTTCGCGGGCTACACTACTAATATCAATAAATGGGGATCGGTAGCTTGATTATGCGGTGTATCTTCGTTTGACTACAAGCGTTTCACAGCCTGAACCTTCTCGTACGATTTTAGCAGGTTGCCAATGGTGTGTGCAATCATCTCTAAGACTAAACGAAGGGCACTAGAGAATATTTGAGACTGTGGCTAACAATGTCCCGCACACGGCCTATATGTAATGTCTTCAGAGGTTTGTAAAGCCTGGGAACTGTGATCGTTGTTTGTTAGTGAAATAATGATTTGGTAGCCCAGGTCGATGTGCTCGTCTTGTGTTTCATCGTCATCACGAACGGCAGTAGTTCAGGTCAGTTCAGTTTCAGTTCGAAGTACACTGAATCCATTTTCCGTGGCTCGTGTCTCTTGGACAAAATTAAATAGCATCAGTGAGACAATAAGCTGGAACGCGAGCAGAGGTACAAGGAGAAGCGAGGTGTGATAAAGTCGAGCAAAATCAATCATGACAGTAACTGTCTTGGTGCCTTAACATTTGTAGACCATTACAGCAGTCATGTCGGTAATTGCAGACTAGTTTCTTCTCTGACAGTGTCTGTGCCGATAATTTCTATACCTATCACCTGCGTGATGCGCCAGTGAGTTTGTAACGCGATTGCCGGTGCACTGTATGCTAACTACACAGGTAGGCGGTCTGCGGTGAATATTAGACAAACGGTGGTTGGCTAGAGCATTTATAAGATTTCACAGCTGTTATGGCCAAAAGGTCACCGAAGCGAAGCACAGCTAGAAAACGGTAAATACCTGTAACGGACATTGGTGACAGCGTTCGGCGTGTGTTGGAAAACGCGTGTGTTTATTCAAACAAATGGGTAGCCTCCGAACAGACAGTTCGTTCCATTTCCCTACGCATATGATGGGATTACAATATGTTGTGGACTTGCACAGTCATCAAAGGGGAAAGTTCGTAGTTCGCTACAGGTCGACTGAATGCAGCATATTTCCTAATCCGATTCGTACAGCTGTATCTCTCTCCAATAATACTGAACATCAGTGCAGGAAGAATCATTTCTATACTTCTCCTCAGGCCATTACAATCATAAGAACACAATACAACAATACACGTTATCTAGAGGTGGGAAACACCTCAGCTACTGTGCCGCAATATCTAAAAGAAAATAGGGAATAAAAAGCAAAAGGTGTAAGCCAGCTGATCTACCGGTAACGGATGGGCATCGTCCCGGTAAGCCATCTGCCGGCTATTAAGCAGCACGAACACCAATGAGGTCGGCTCCTAGCCATATCAGCAAGTATATCCAGCCAAATGTGTTCATCGTCTTTCGGACCCCAACCAGGGAGCTGAAATGCTCCAACTGCCAACTTGGAAGTGAGGGCCTTCATTCATCTCGACCAAGTCATCGATTGGCCACCTCTCCTTCCATCCAACCCCCCCCCCGGCGCGCAAACAACGCACGTCGCGGGAGTCGGTGGGCTGACATGCGTAACACATGGCCGAGCCATTGGAGCCTGGTGCGTGAAATGAAGGTGCTGTGCAGTTCATTTCCTTTTCCTGTGCCGTAAACAAAACGTCGAACACGCTCGTTGCTCACGCGGTGTTCCCACCAGATGTGAGCTAAATTACGAAGGCACCGGTGGTGGAACGTAACTAGCATCTTCACATCCGCTGCTTTAAGCGGCCAGGTTTAACAACCGTACAGTAGGGTCGAACGCATCGCTACATTGTACACTCTACCGTTCATTACGAGTGATGTCTCGCCGCCACCATAAGTGGCGAAGGTTAGCCAAAGCGCCTCGAGCTTTTGTTATGCGGTTCGTGGTCTCGTCTTCGATCCCATGTATCAGCTGTACGCCGTAACGGCGCTTCGCTGCCGCGCGACCACCACCAGTCGCGCGCGGGCTGAGTATACCGCGAGGACGCCCACCCCTACGCGGATTCGAACCGGTGACCTTATGGTTGCAAAGCAAACGTGCAGACCACTCGGCCACCGGCCGACCTCGCGTCCTCGCGGTATACTCAGCCCGCGCGCGACTGGTGGTGGTCGCACGGCAGCGAAGCGCCGTTACGGCGTACAGCTGACACATGGGATTGAAGACGAGACCACGAACCGCATAACAAAAGCTCGAAGCGCTTTGGCTAACCTTCGCCACTTATGGTGGCGGCGAGACATCACTCGTACTGAACGGTAGAGTGTACAATGTAGCGGTGCGTTCGACCCTACTGTACGGCTGTTAAACCTGGCCGCTTAAAGCAGCGGATGTGAAGATGCTAGTTACGTTCCACCACCGGTGCCTTCGTAATTTAGCTCACATCTGGTGGGAACACCGCGTGAGCAACGAGCGTGTTCGACGCTTTGTTTACGGCACAGGAAAAGGAAATGAACTGCACAGCACCTTCATTTCACGCACCAGGCTCCGATGGCTCGGCCACGTGTTACGCATGTCAGCCCACCGACTCCCGCGACGTGCGTTGTTTGCGCGCCGGGGGGTGTGGATGGAAGGAGAGGTGGCCAATCGATGACTTGGTCGAGATGAATGAAGGCCCTCACTTCCAAGTTGGCAGTTGGAGCATTTCAGCTCCCTGGTTAGGGTTCGAAAGGCGATGAACACATTTGGCTGGATATACTTACTGATATGGCTAGGAGCCGACCTCATTGGTGTTCGTGCTGCTTAATAGCCGGCAGATAGCTTACCGGAACGATGCCCATCCGTTACCGGTAGATCAGCTGGCTTGCACCTTTTGCTTTTTATTCCCTTTTTTCTTTTAGGTATTGCGGCACAGTAGCTGAGGTGTTTCCCACCTCTAGATAACGTGTGTTGTTGTATTGTGTTCTTATGATTGTAATGGCCTGAGGAGAAGTATTGAAATGATTCTTCCTGCACTGATGTTCAGTATTATTGGAGAGGGATACAGCTGTACGAATCGGATTAGGAAATACGCTGCATTCAGTCGACCTGTAGCGAACTACGAACTTTCCCCTTTGATGGCTGTGCAAGTCTACAATAGATTGTAGTCCCATCATATGCGTAGAGAAATGGAACGAACTGTCTGTTCGGAGGCTACCCATTTGTTTGAATAAACACACGCGTTTTTCAACACACGCCGAACGCTGTCACCAATGTCCGTTACATGTACTTACTGTTTTCTAGCTGTGCTTCGCTTCGGTAACCTTTTGGCCATAACAGCTGTGAAATCTTATAAATGCTCTAGCCAACCACTGTTTGTCTAATATTCACCGCAGACCGCCTACCTGTGTAGTTAGCATACAGTGCACCGGCGATCGCGTTACAAACTCACTGGCGTATCACGCAGGTGATAGGTATAGAGATTATCGGCACAGACACTGTCAGAGAAGAAACTAGTCTGCAATTACTGACATGACTGCCGTAATGGTCTACAAATGTTGAGGCACCAAGACAGTTACTGTTATGATTGATTTTGCTCGACTTTATCACACCTCGCTTCTCCTTGTACTCTGCTCGCGTTCCAGCTTATTGTCTCACTGATGCTATTTAATTTTGTCCTAGAGACACGAGCCACGGAAAGTGGATTCAGTGTACTTCGAACTGAAACTGAACTGACTTGAACTACTGCCGTTCGTGATGACGATGGAATGAAACACAAGACGAGCACATCGACCTGGGCTACCAAATCACTATTTCACTATCAAACAACGATCACAGTTCCCAGGCTTTACAAACCTCGGAAGGCACTACATATAGGTCGTGTGCGTGACACTGTTAGCCATAGTCTCAAATCTTCTCTAGTGCCCTTCGTTTAGTCTTAGAGAAGATTGCAGAGACCTTTGGCAACCTGCCAAAATCGTACGATCAGATTCAGGCTGCGAATCGCTTGTAGTCAGCCGAAGATACAGAGCATAATCAAGCTACCGATCCCCATTAATTGATATTAGTAGTGTAGCCCGCGATGCACAATGGGGCTGATCCGAATTTCCTCATTCAGATAAGAAAATCGCCTATGTGCACGAAGCAGAAGCTGGCGTGAACTTTAAAGGTGAAAAAGAGCATTTGCTGCTCGTGAAACCTAAGCCAGACGGTTCCTGGCTGTTGGTCTTCTGCTTATCATTGACTGTGGCTTTCAAGAACAGTCGCGAACACGGACTAATGAGCAACGTTCTCACACAGAAGTCAATCAGCGAAACACGATGCTGTGAATTATATGCCGTGCCAGAAACAAGCACGATCATACAACTATGCGTTTTACCCGTGTGAGAGAACGACACTACCAGAACAGAATGCGCAGCTTCTCGCACACTGGCAAACATACCTAGTAGTAAAAATAATAATAATGTCATTGCCACCTGATTATGACTGACTTCAGACAGATATTGGTGGAAATTAGCGGTTATATATCTGAAGCCAGTCCTCTCATTAGGGATTTCCAGACCATACCATTAGGTCAAAGATGAGTTGAGTGACTTGCAATCGTTTGTTCAAGTAATTTCTAGCTGAGTTGAGGTACACGACCTGCCAATTTTGAATAGGACTGCCACAGGACAATCGAGCAGTGCAAAACGCCACGCATTCCCTTTGGTCCTCCAAACCATTATTCTCTTACGTAGAAAAAATAACCAATGCCGAGTTAACGTTTGCCATCTCGAGCTCTGCGCCACCCCATAGTCGGAAAGAACTAAGCGTTCAGAACAATTCACTGCCTACCACCCAACTGTGAAGATCATTGCAACACATCCGAGTTGAGTGTCGAGATGGCTGCTGGTTAAATAGAACAGATAAAACATGATTTTGTCTTCCACGATGTTAAACGTGCATCAAAGTCGGTGGTCAGTTGAAATGCCATGAGCGACTTGCGTTTGGTAACGCATCTCTCGCATTCCTACTGAGCCCCATCCACAGCACATTTCGTCGGTCCTTCCTGTCACTTTGCTTCACCGTAGTCAGTCCTCACGGCCATGGTAAAACAACCGGGCTCATCGTACTTCTCCCGTCTGAAGCAGTGGGAAGTCTGATATGAATTGATTGTTACGCCGTAGCGATTACCATGCAAATGGTGATTGGCTACCACTGCTTCTTATCCTAACACACATCCGTGTCTGTCAGGACACAAGACCGGAACGATCGATCTATCACTGACGTTAAACAACGAAAGGTACGGCTGACAGGATCGAGGCAATCCGCGAAACAGTGACCACACAGCGAGCGGGTCAAACTATTCGGCCAGTATCGGACAATCCATCCTCGCCAATCACTGTTTCATCCATCCAGTTATGCAGAGTAGCAAGTGATCGTTCTCATAAACATTAACACTGATTTAGGGTTTTTCTCTCTATGTTTAGTTAAACAGCTGGGACCCAAGCATCAAAGTGTGCTAACCGATTTGCAATGAAGCACATCGCCAAAAATTTCGGTACAGATAACTCAAAATGATACTACAATAATGGACAAAAATAGAGCTGTTAGTCAGAGTAGATGAGAATCAAAAAGTAGAGAACGAACGCAGAGCAGCATACTTCGAGATGGCGCCACATCACGTGACCGACAAAAATGCTCCCACAAAGGAAGACAGCAAGTACCGGTCTGTTCAAATCGCTGGGTCCATTTCGTCGTACATTACTGCTGCATCGGGTTACCACTTTGTAGTTCCGCTAAAGTAGACGGAGTCCCGGTAATCACACCGGCTAGCGGGCGCCTGAAAGAGATGACCTGGTGAACGTGTAAGTGGTTCAAGTAAAACGGATACTACAACACGCATCCGGAGTGTTTCTTTCCGGACTGCAACTGCGATGCCTCCACTGGCAGTGATGTTCCACAATCAACGGTGACTAGGGACGTTGAATTTCTTATCGCTCGCACTGTGCAGCTACCACGTTTCTGTTTAGAAATTTAAGGACGGTCGCATCGCCGTGCAAACAACTTGCCACACTCCCAGATTGACGGGTTGCACTACATCGTCCTCATAAGTAAGATCCCCATGAAAATTACATGCGTCTTGATAACTGACGTAATATGCTGATTGATTCTACCGAACAGATGTGTGAATTGGTCGGCCATTTCGGTTAGTTATCAGGTGATAGATAAAGTGGTTGGTGTCCCGGTTCACTTCGGCAATAATACTTTGAAGTTAGAAGGTGCGAAGGATTTGCAAAAGCGAGTCGCGTTACGTGGCAGTTCACCAGAAAGTATTTGCAAAGACATTGGATCTTTTCGAAAACAGCCATACCGTCCGTGCACGGTTACTCGGTAGACATTTCAGTCCGAAAGCAGAGTTACTTGGGATTATCTCGATCGCAAAGTTGAATAAAAATAGAGAGCATACAGACGTTTTGGTGCACCCGATCAGTCATCCGCAAGGTAATGTGAACCACTATGCAAAGACTGATCAATCGATATCACTCGAGACGAGCCTTTTACGGTAGTTTGGTTGAGAATGAGTTCAGCTGGTGCTGTGACGGCAATGAGACGTCAGCTTAACAAGCAGAACCGTTGTCGAGAGCAGCATGACGCACCGAGTGACTTAGGGGCTAGCAAGTGTCCCTCGTGGCTGACGGTGGCGCGTTGAAGGAAATCGGAGGACTACGAGTTTATCTAATACAATAGTGGAATAAGTAATAGGAGAGGGGCAATCCCGATGGTGCTACAATTACTGTACGGTCTCTGAGATGTAGACGCATGTTTCCCACCGACACCTCACCAATCGGTCCATGTTGTTGATGCTAAGATTGCCTGAATGATGACGGTGGAAGTAGAAATAAGCATTGTATTTTTTATTCATCAAAAGTAACAGTATAACTTATTGGAAACCCGTCCCAATAGTTGTACAAATCGTAACATTATCCTTTCGAAAGCGAGGCCCATGATATGCGGGTGGAAACTTCAGCACAATAAAGTGTGGGATAAAACGCTAGTTCATATCGAGAAACGCAAAGTATATGAAAAAATGTACAAAACGGTGAAAAAGTGGATGTGTTCAAAAGTAACGAATAGTAATGGGGCCATAGGGCTCATTTTGAGTAGGTAGAATCAACCGCTTTTTCGCCAAGGCTGAAAGAGAGAGAGAGTGGAGAAAGTTAAGAATGAAGCTCAACACATACCGAGTACGGCGGCAAACGCGATTGCAGCGTCCCGTTTGGAAATGCCACACGGACACAGTTGTGTCATGTTCACCGAATTGGAGTCGGACATGGCAAGTAGCTCTTGCAAACGACTAAAAGGCAGTCAAGAGTTAGGCTGCACATAAGTGCAAAACGCACCTCCATACACGCCCCGCGTTGGCGTATAGCTGCTCGGGAACTGAGGCTGCTTCAGGAACCGTTGTTTTCGGCTCTAAAACAAACGGCATAGAGATCAATATATACGAAAAGTGAAGACAAGGGAATCTATGGCATGAAAATGTACTGGCAGTGTTCCTGGACCTTGCACCGAAGCGTTGCTGCCAAGCAACGATTAGCAGGCGTATGTGAGCTTGGATACTAAGACGTCGGATACAGCTACGCAACAACGAATCGATGACGAATTCGTTGCAAAACAAACCGCCACCAACCGAACAGGGACAAGGAGAGCTATGTAAGGTTTTGTGCAGCGAACCTGTAGGTATGTCCTCGTGTGTCAGACTCTCTGAGATCAGTTAGTGATGACAGTAGTGAAACCTGCACTCTGCAGACTGGCTTGGCAGAAAGGGGGAATCATAACATCATCTAACCCTTGAATACTCGTGAGACGTGACCATATCAACCAGTCACGGTAACCGATTGGCAAAACTCTATGGTGGCGTATCGAACAAGAATGCTAGAAAGAGCTGAAAACACCGTGATGTAGAAGTAACAAGACCGTTCTGATCAGTGGGATGAACTGACAGACGCGAATGAAACATGGACAAGATCACAGTGCATTAGTGATCAAGGTGTCTGCCGTTAACCATTAGGTCCAGGGTTGCACTACCAGCTAAGGCGTTATTTTCATCTGAAGCACCCAAACGAGGACAAATCGGTCGTGGGATGGAGGAGTAACATCGTAATCTCTCCAGAATAGGAGATTCCTGCTATCACATAGTAGGAGGTTGTTTATGCATGATGGGGAATCCTACGAGGACGCGGCAGAACGACGGACATCCGATTACGAACAATGTGTTGACAATCAAGAGAGCATGGCCTCATTCGTCAACGGTGAGGAACTCATGCTACGCAAAAAGGATGTAGAAGCCGGTGTAGGTGGGGAATGATAAGGACCAAGGCACTTACCTAAAGGACAGGGTTGTCTCATAGGCTCTTCCAACTCTTCTGGAAGTGGTACCAATGTGGTTGTCTCAATTTGAGGCAAACACTGGTCAGTGATATTTGGAACTGGAGTAGTGTTGGTCCGGACTGCATCAACCTCCGCAGTTGTTGGCTTAACAAGCAGAGGGGTTTTTATAGAAACATCCAGATCGGTCACGTTGGCGGGCTATTGGAGAGGGAAAAGAAAATTATGCATGTTTTATAAACGATCGTTTCCGTCGGAAGTACCATACAGCGACGAAGCTATCAATGTGAGAAAGATATGGACAATAACAGCAACAAAGTAGTAGTTTGTATCGCTCCATTACGGCCATGACCGTCTAATTAATGACTAAGAAGGAAAAGGGGCTGACGAAAAATGGATAAACACTAAAGTCCAGAGAGTCGAGTGCCTTATCTTTGGATATATTCCACAGATCAACCAGGGGAAGAAAATATCCAGCTGTTGTAGCGCAGTACTATTTAAGTAGGTGAAAGAAGAAAAACGAGAAAAAACAAGCAAAACAAAATACAAATATGATCACGCGTCATCTCGTTTTATGGAGTGGCAACGAGGTCGTGGTGCGAGATAGAGACTAGGTGAGTGGCAGGGTAAGGAACCCATAACACGGATGCCATTGAGATCGGTGTTCCTGCGTTATCTTAACAAGCATGTGTAGCCAGACTAGTTTGCCTTACGAATCACAACCAACCGGCGCGTAGCCTAAAGGACCACAAGCCTGCCTTATAATCCGAGAGCGCGGGTTCGAGCCTGCATAGGGACCGGACAATTCTCAGTATCTTTAGCCCACGCTCGAAAGTTAGTGATTGCGAGGTAGCGAAGCGCTAGTACTGTGTGCCGGTGTACTGTTGACACCAAGAATCTCAACCAAGAAGTTGCGTGGCTCCAACCGAGGCTTACTTCGAAATAAGAGCTCTCATTCTTCTTGACCAAGTCATCGCTTAGCTTCCCTTCCACTTCTTCTATTAAGACCCTGACCGACCCAACAATCAAGTAGCTCGTCATCGTGCGACAGCAAGGCGGCCCCTTTGTATTTATCGCTCCCCAAGATGTAATTAGCCACATGTCACAGATAAGTCGGCACCACGGGGATTGTGAACAAATAAACCGTCAGCAAGGAGAAGATGGCAAACATGCCACCGATGTTGCTGGCATGTCAGAGAGTGGTCAGCATGAGTCCTAGCTAGATAGATGAAACGGACTGAGACATATGGTGGAGATGCAATTATCATGAAACGAACGGGTGAAAAATCTAGCCCAAATGTAGAGGGACATAGGGGCAGAAAAGGATGATTGTAATGGTGCCAAAAATCAACAATCGAGGCCTATCACACAGGCTGCAAGACTGCAATCTAAGGAGAAAATGAAAAGGATAATGAGAAGAAAATGGATTGCTCAGTCTTAATCGTTTCTATTTCTCGATTAGCCTACATTATACGGTTAAAAAATTAGCACTCTCCGTAGTTAAATATTTTAAAAAGTATACATAATCTGTTACATAACAATGCAAATTTCCGCTTCCATCCCTAACCACACCCAAACCTGCACCCGCTGGAGCGTATCATGCGGTCTCCAGTAACAGAAGAAAACAGGAGGGCGAACCAAGTTCTGTTACTTATGAGGAATATGGTACAAATTTCAAAATCATATGCAAATCCTCGTGCTCCTCATCATTACCCACAACAAGAGTAAATCAGATATTTTAACTGCTGCGTCGCTGCCGAAAACAAGGACTTACGGAACGAAGGACACTAAAGGAGTGAGAAGGAGAACCTCGCGTAAAACCATTATGGTGAAGGCACCTACACGTTGTGCAGACAACATACCATCACAAACAGCTGGCTATCGTGGAAAGATTAGGCGACACAGCTTTCTTGCGGTTTGCACTGCCCCGCGTCATAAGCAGCTATTATCCCGCAGATAACTAAGCATCAAACACTTTAAAGAGACAGTCCAAGTAGAAGACGACAGCACACCGGCCACTAGTGCCCAATGCGAACCATGTATCGTAACGTATCGAGCCAAGTACAGGGCGGGTCACGTGGGCTCCAGTTCGGAAGACGAGACGGACCGACGGCACCCAATTTGGTCGTCAGTGAGTTTATTTCACGCTGCCAAGTCAATTTGTGTCCACCTCGAGCTTTGCGCCAGCCCTCCTCGGTAAGTAGTGACCGGGCACACGTAGTACGTGCCCATGATAATGCAACTTATTCAGTCCTCTGTTGTTTTAAAGAACTAGCATGATTATTATTGCTTAGTACTCCCCTACGCACATCATCGTTGCGCGCACGCCGCCGCCATCCAACCCCAGCAATGCTTCGCAGGGAGCGGGGATCAAATACTTAAAGGCACATGAGATCAATAGATCGAGGGGGTCAACTCTCAATCTCAAAGAAAGAGACGGAGATATCAGCGGTACGCCGGTACACAGTACCGACGCTGCGCTACCGCGCAGCTACCACTTGTTGCATGTTGGCTAACGATGCTGAGACCGTGGCCCGGTACTTATGCAGGCTGGAACCTGCGCCCTCGGATGACAAGGCAGGATTGCGATTCTTAATGCTAAAGATCTCATAGAGTAGGACGACCCTCACTGTGGCCTTGTGGACACAGCCTTGCAGACCGAGGGAACCGTCTTCCAGTGTTACAGATGTCGCAGAATCAAGAAGTCTCACCTAGATGTGCAGCACCTGGATAACTTAAAGCGCTAATCTGCCCATCGTTGCTGAAGCAGCTGCGAAGGTAAATGATTTGATCAAATACCTCGAGTTACTGGCTATTAAGCTGCAAGTGGCTGGTGGTCTTGCACTAAGCGATGGCTTGGTCAAGAGGAGTGAAGTCCCCCATTTCGAAGTTGGTGAAGGTTGATGTCTCCCAACTGCCGACTTGGGGTCCTAAGGATGATGAACGTTTGTCTTGATACACATATCGGCATGGCGAAGAGCTAACCCAAATGGCTTTCGCGTTGTGTTTCTTTATCTCACCATCCGCTTAACTTTCACCTCCAACCACGTTCTCACAAGTGATGCGTAAAACGACACTGAGCATCATAGTACATTTTTATTTTATATTCCGCAATGTTCTGTATCGCGCTTCTTTATGTATTTTATCTTTTCGTATTGCAGCATACTGTCTGAAGGGTGTTTCTCACTTTATATGTGTGTATATGGTGACTCAGCAACACTGCGCTTCAGAGATGCGCAGCGTATGTCAAACGATGAGACCACTCTAGAAAGGTCATTCAGCGTTGCCTGGGTCGTCCAAACATCGCTAAACAGCAAGACCATATCATCCACGTAATCAAGATCGACATGTTTTCCATCAGACAGCAGCTCAGCCTCTGAATCGTGAGGCGCCGCAGTGGAACACTCCATGATGGAAACCACAAGGAATTTGAACGAAAATGAGGAGATTGGACAACCCTGACGAACGCCACTTGTTGTCGGAAAGGCATCCGACAAACCGCCGTAGACCCTGATGCGGCATGTGGTGTTCGAGTATAGAGCACGTAAAACGTTCACATATATCACGGTAACACTATTCCGCACAAGTATCCCGGACAGAATTCATTGATCGACTGAGTCAAGCGCACTCTTGAAGTCGAGGAACACAGCTATTGTCGGTCTTTGATACACGTGATGCTGTTTTTGCAATTGCCGCAGTGAATATATAGACCACACAACCTGTGCTGGACGGAAACTTGCTTTCCAATCTGGGACCCGTTCCTCAGTGAGGCGACAAACGGGAATTAAACCAATAATTTTGTCACAACTAGCGTTGGACTAATACCCCTGCGGCTAGCACAATCAGTGCGATTACCCTTCATGTATATTGTCACGATAATCGATTGACTCCAGATTTGTGGGAACAAAGTGAGTGCTTTGTAGAGGACCTCATCAATATCCTTAAGTAGTGTGGGTGCGAGGAAATCCCGGCCAGCAGCCCGAAAACGACCAAGAGCTGTGATCGCATTTCGGACCTCAATTTCCGTTGGAGCCTCTAAACGAATGGAGCATGGTTCAGCTTGCACCACCAGAGTAGGAAAACGTCTAGAAGCAAGGTGCTAACGGAATTGTTCATGAAAGTGCTCAGCCCAACGAACCACTGATGCCTGGTTCCATGGGAGCTAATAGTGTGAAGCTTGTGATGATTGTCCACTGCCCACACCACCATTTCCGGAGCCATGATGAACCACCAAGCTTCGTTATCCGCATCCAGGTTCTGGTTTAGTTCGCACTTAATAGTCTGCCCGATAACATCGTGGTTAGAGCCAGCATGGATCTTTCTTAGCGATTCCAACAGGTTCACTGACCTCTCCCATATACAGTGACTGGTACGGTTACGACTGATAATATCACAAGCAGAAGTTCCCGCGTCGTGCATAGCGGCCGGGATTCTGTCCCTATGAAGCTGTGTCATTTGGGCGAGAGAGCGTAATTTGGGTACCCAGGACATCCTGGTAGGCTTGCCTGAGCGCGGGCTGAGATAACTTCCTAGTTGTCAACCGAAAAAGGCGCACGGTACGCATCCGCATAACGTACATGGAAAAACCACCGCGTACCAAAGCATGATCAGAGTTGACGCAGATATTCCAGAACGGTTGGCAAGCCAACATGGAGCCATGCAAGTTAAGGTAACGTAACCTATTTGGGTCCATGGTTGGACAGTTATAGAATGGCACTTCGGCGCCCACTGTGCCTGAAAGCGGTGCTACTAAGAAATAAAACGGTGATCTGCGCACAGTTGCAATACACGCTCACTGCTGTCTGTCCGGTCGGAGTTAAATCCATACTTAACATCCAGCTGAACTTCTGAAGAGCTCAGACGATCTGAACGGGTAACAATGCGAAGCAGCGTGTTCAATTCGTGGTAGAAAGTGTCAATGGCAACATCAGAACTGTAGTCGGTGAAGGTATAAACGTAAACCACATACAAACAGCATGGTACACCGTGAATCAACCATAGTTTATGCGGTCAAATGTATTGCACACACAAATCCAATCAACCAACGATGTCTCAGCCCACCACAGTAGTACCACTGACTGCCGCGTCAGCGTCTCCAGGATGCGTATAACCAGCAGCTAGAGCACAGGTCGGGCGCAGCTAAACGACCACAGGAGGACAATTGCTCCTAGTTAAGACACACAGTGGACATGGATACCCAGAGTGCCCAACGTGTGGGCGACTGCAGCCTGATGACGTATTCGACTTACAGCGCGAATGTTGAACGTCGCCAGGGAAACGGGACAACGTGGCTTTAGAAGGGTTGTTGCCGATAGGCGTCCAGTGGGTGGTGCGAGAAGGTAGCTGCTGTTGGTGTGACTCCAGTGTCATTAAGGCGGCTGCCAATTAGGCTGAGAGAAGTGATAGAAAAGGTGGAAAAGAAAGGAGGCGCGCCAGCAGTAGCATCTTTTCGCTTATCTGTACTGCTGTATGTAGCAGATAAGGCGACCCTTGATAATTTGCGCGACAGCCGATGCAGGATGCGGTGGAGATTTGAAGAAATAGTCATGGTTGTAGGTGGGCTGAGATACTGCCAGGGCACCCAGACCTAGAAAAGAGAACGAGTAGTGGTCAACCGAAGCCTTTGGCTCAAAAGCCTGTCCGCAAGACAGCCGGGAGATGGCAACGATTCGGTCTTACAGGAACGGATACCATCCAATTTCCAACCCCAAACTGGAGTCAGTCTGACCTCTACAATCATTGACCAACCTAGTAGAAGTAGCTCACAAGGGGCTCGGGGCATTAGCCAATATAGTTCAACGGGATGAAGAAGTACGCAAACTGTCGCAACAAGCCAAGGTCAAGTCTTGCGGTGACGGCAACGGCAAATCGTCACTGTTAGATGAATATTTCGTCCTGCTATTAGTATACCTGGAAGTCGAAGTCGTGTCGTCGAGAAATACAGAATGATGATTTATCGAGACCTGGAATAGCTACGATATTGATTATAGACGTGCAGGGTTTAACGATTTACACACAGTGACCACACGCATGAGAATGCGTATCATGTAAATAGTAATGTGTATTATAAAGGGTCCCTCCACTCCAGTCGAAAGGCCTGCGCCTCCGCACCCTTGCTACTATCGAGGCGATCAGCATTCGGTTGTATCAACCGCTTTTGTGTGCACAAAAGAAGCTGATCGAAGATGTTAAGCTACTTTGGCCAGGCGAAACCGGATCCTTCTGAGGGCAACTGTAATTGTGCAACTACACATGTGCCCTAGTTTGTCGTTTGTTGCTGGTTCATGTCTTTGGTCGGTACGTGATCAAATCTGATTTGTACTGATCGAATCCACTTTTACGCCTATTGCTATTTCATTCATGATTGTACGGGTCTGAGGATGAATCATCGAAAACAATTATCTTCGGTCTTTTGTTCTTGATAATGAAATGGGAATTTTCTAGTTAATGTGTACTTTTCTTGGGCACAATCTATTGTTATCACGTATTACATTCCTCGGACAGTCTGCTAGTTGAGGCGAGTACTGTCTTATTATCTGGAGTGGGAAGAAACACTAAAAGCAGCACGGAAAGCGCACAACAATTAGATGAGTACAGGCGCAGATACGAATGACTGTCAAAGTATTTGGGACACGTAGATTTCGTTTGACTGCGCACAACGGGGAGCTGGTAGCAATGTAACCATGAGGACCAAAGCAAGTGACCCAAAAACAAATGGGCGCGCGTTTACCGATGGATTTACCTGGTTTATTGTGACATCCAACAGGTGGCTAGAAGCGCCGAAAAGAGAGCTCGATTGAATCACGGAGGAAGTGGTCTGTCCCGCTCTGCGCAATTCCACGGATTGGTCAGCTTCTTCGGTCAGTCTTTCTGGACGATCAGCATTTTGGTGATGGGAAAGGTTCCGGAGTGGGGAAACCGATCGCAGATCATTCAAATCGTCGCCGACTAACAAAAGATGTTCCTCACCAAAACGACGATGTCTACACCAAAGCTGAGAAAGCAAAGGCACAGTGAAGGTAAAAATGTAGGATGTCGCACGATCTGCGGAAAATACAACAGTCGAACGTGAATGTTTCAGTGTGTAGACACAGGTGGGTACATTTTCCGAAATTACCGTTTTGAACAAGGAATACAATTGCATAAAAAGGAAATATATTTAAATAAATGAGAAGGGTGACAAATTCAGCATTAACATGGGGGCTTGGGTGTTGATAAAAGGGCTGGTGTTAAGCACATGCGCAAGAAGCTTCGTGAAGTGCAAAACGCGTAAGGGGACATAGAGATGTTAGCTCCGTTTAGATAAACAATGGTGTTCCGAGCACCGAATTGCGAGGTGGATCAAGTTTTCAAGAGTCGCGTGGCCAAGACAAAAGTGCTCAATACACACTGTTTATCCCACCGTGTAGCCGCTCTGATTCGACGCTCTTATCCTCTTGGATTTACTATCTCCAAGCGCCGACGCACATTGTTGTGCTTACACTTATTCAACTCGGATTTAAACACGCTATCCAATGGATCTACTATTACAGGACTGTCTAGCACACACTATCGTTGCATCAGTTACTGTAATTCTAGCGGCGTTTTCACAGAAATCCATGCGCGCATTAACCAAACTTTCAAGTGCATACCATCATTTGTACCCTCATTCGACAGAGTGTTCTTAGCGCTAGCTGGCGATTCATTTGCCACAGGAATCCGATACTTAGTTTGATAGCTGCAGCTCGTTTAGCAGCCATTATCCGAACACTCGCCAGGGCAGCGTGAATTCTACCACGCCTGACAACGATCAACTTTCCGCCATGTCGAAGCCCGGCCCGATCGATAGCCAAGCGCTCACTGCCTACAGCAAGGTAGCGCGTTAACCTCCGTCGACTTTGTTCGCAACTATGGTCCCACTCGTAGGACATAGTCAACGAATATCATGTGCCAGTCCCAACACGCTCAGTGCGTTGGGTGTTAGCAACGAAAAGGCGGTCGCGATTTACGCACGCGACTGACAATAGGCATGGACTGCGACACAGCAACAAGGAAAACGAAATGTACACGATTCACGCAACTCCAGACAACAGCTCTTTGCAATCCGAAATCATGCCTCAAGACTATTTGAATTGAAATAACGTGTAGTAACTGCAGTAATAAATTCCATCCCAAGTGCGCAAATTTAGGTGTAGTGAAAGCAAAAGTGCGACACCACCCAATAGACTAAATTTGGTTATATACATAGAGTATGATGAACCCACCCGTAAGGTGCATCGCCGCACTGACAGCGCTTGTGCAGTGTGCCACGGCTGGAAAAGCGGCTGCATCAGAATAATTTGTAGCGGAACTCCACTCCCGTTGAATAAACCTAAGTGGCCAAAACAAGCGCATAGTTAACAGCGTAGAGCCTGCTGCCACAACTAAGAGGATTAGTAAGTAGGCGGGCAGGCAGTCTGTCAGCACCGGAGACCCAATCTTGCGGAGAATAACTTTTTCTGGGAAGGTGTCTGTAGTATATGATACTCCATTACATTTGAGTTTATATAACACCCTATAAAAAGCCACAAATGTCCGTTTAACAACAATGCGACGTGGCGGACGTAACTTGCCACTGAATAAAGTCACTGCCCACAACTACGTACTGGCAAGTCGACTAGAGTGATATTACAACCATTTCTTGACACGTACAACAATAAGATACTCTCCGTCTACATCTACTGCTTTCACTAGACTTATAGCGCTTTCATTGTTTGCACTACGCACACTTGAACCCAAGGTATCGTCATCCATTGACGACTTTGCTCTTTATGATTATTTCTGCAATTTCCGTAGCCTGTACAGATTTCGGCCATTGTCGATTACATACATAGCAACGTGTCTGTTGCGAAACATAATTGCCTATAACTTTCGCTCATGCCTGATTTGATGTGCCTCGATAAATTCGAGAATAAACTATTTATTTATTTATTTAAAAGCCAGACAACATACGCATGGGTCGTCGCTACATACAGACAGAAGGCAAAGTTAGCAGGCACGTCTACAACCACTCCAAAGTGTTGGAAAGGATTCGAATACCAATGCGCCTCCGAGAAGGCCACCTACCATGCCTCACTAATGAAGGGAAGCAGGTTCTTACTAGAAATCGTGAACATTAAGAGGAGGAAGAACTCAATGAAGGTAATACGCTCAAAAGTTGTTCAGTCAAAGGCAAACGCTGGAATCCATATGCCAAACAGCGGGGATCCAGACCAAACAGGCTACTTTGCTTCGCATTGTTCGTCACCCAATCTCAGTTCACTATGGCGAACCAAGACTACTTCAAGTGACGTATCAGTCAGGTGACGAAGTGGAGCCCGTTCTATAGTCAGCTCACCGTCCTCGTAAATCAGTATGCGACGTTCGTATAGTCTAAGACATTCAATGGATTGAGAGTCGGCAAAGAAAGTAAAAGCCAGAATATCGTAGGTAAAACAACGAAAGATCAATCTTTGTCCGTAGTGTACCCGAAATCCACATTCCCAAGCTCATGACAGGACAATGGTTTTGCATCAATGAAGCTCTCTCCACGACATGATTGCCAACCCTCCATTAAGGTTGCCTACGTCAAACAACTATAAATAATGTGGTCCAAGAGTGCGGAAAGTCCTGCTTGTTAGGAGGAGGACAGGTTGACACACTTCCCCAAAGTCCGATCACCAAAAGCAAACCCGCAAGAAAATCTCAGAACAAGCTGATACTATTATGGTAAGAAAAAAGAGAACAAAAAGCGATCATGAAGGTCAACCGCACCATATAAGTATAGCATGCGCCATGTAACCATCCTGTCTTTCCTAGTGAACAAACTGGCGCTTGAAGGCCGTCCTCTAATCAGCCAATCAAAGAGACCGGAGCGACGTCGGGGACCATAACACTGCTGCACTTCAAACAAATGGTTGAAAGGGTGCTCGGAAGTTGGTACAAGTTACACATCAAATTGCCGTCAGAAATACGTTCGAACGCGGGCGAAACCAGGTCACCATGGGCTAAGGGAACACAAATCTAGCGAGATCGTGTCGCCAGCCCAGCTCTCTGCACTTCTGAACCGGAGCGCAGTGCAACTCCAGAGCTCCCAGGAGCAGAAACAGACAACCCGCCGCAAATCGCCCCTGAAGGAGTAGGTAGTGAATGCACTGTACAACAGCCCGAAACGGCCCCGAGTGGTAGGCCGGAGATACATCCAAATAAAAGATTGTCAGCCGGCCCCTCAAGAGTTGGCGTATATTCGCGAGAAACGTTTGCGTGTTCAAACACCCACCTGGCATCCGTAGCTCTCAGTTGTTGGTATATAAACGCACAGAACCTGCTCAGCAAATTGACCGAGTCTCGATCTTGTCAAGCCCCAAGCTCCTAGGACCACATCATGGAAACCGAGATATGCTTGAATGACGTGATTACCGACACTGAGATCGCACTACCTGGTAGGTCATTCACGCAGCGACCGGCCCACTAAAGGAGGCGGTGTAATTTAGTGCTACCGTTCCGAAATACACACTAGCCTCATAAATGATCCAGAGGTTAAAACTGTAGACTCCTTAGGGAGTTGCCTACACCTAAGGGAAATATATGCCTAGTGGCCGTCGTATACCGCCCACCAATGTCCACTTTAAAAATGGACCAGGCTCTAGCCTCGGCTATGAAGAACCAACTGGAACGATCTCACAGCCAGGTTCTCCTGGTAGGAACTTCAGACTGCAGGACCTTTAAACTCCGACCACTTTTGGTGAACAATTCAAGGCGTATCGGCGACAGCCCACATCCCCATGTTTTTCCACCGCCTCCAACCAGTCCCATCATTCAACAAACCACACAACCCCCCCCCCCCCGTATCAGGCAACTGCCACCCCCCTACCACAATTTCCCACCATACCACCCCCCCTTCCCTATCATCCTACTAACCACCCCTATCCCACCTCCATTTCTTCCTCTCACCCTATTCCTATATACCCCCACCATATCACCTCCTTCC